AAAATTACTATATAACTCTATTACTATGCTACTATTTTATTCTACCATAAAATTACAAAATTGCTATTTTACAAAATTACTATAATACTATAATGCTGTATTGTTATATTACTATAGTACAATATTACTCACCACTCTTGGCTCAACAATGCAAGCTGGAATCCAAACAAGGGGCTGCTGTGAGCCTGTTTCACCATCACTTAGGGGCAACAAGCCTCTCCCCCTACTCTCCCCTGCCTGAGTGCGAAGTGGTCTTGTCTGAGCCGCTTCAGCGAAGCCCTTGCAGGTCCTCTGCGGACCCTCCTGTGCCCTCCTATACCTCTATGCGCCCTGCACATGAATCTGGCGGTCACATACTTTGAAGAAGCCCTGAACACTCGTCTCTTGGCGCTGCCGTGCCCAGCGGGGCGATGCATGGGTTTAGGGTGTTAGGATAGACTATAAGTTATCCAGACAGCCTTCCTCGCTGTGCAGTATACATGACGTTTGCGTCCTCGTACGCCAGGCTTCCCACAAGGTCTCTAGGCATCGCCCCACGGCGCGCGGCAGCACCCAAGGTAAAGCTAGGTAATCGGCATGTGTGTTTGCAGTCCTACAAAGTGGGCCTCACCTAAACCCTAAACCCTAAAACCCTAGCCCCTCAAACCCTAAACCTAAAACCCTAAACCCTAAACCCTAACACCCTAAACCTCTAAAACCCTAAAACCTAGTAGCATCAACCTTTCTCCCGAGATGTGCCTGCACGTCATGTTCCGGCACAGCTCCAAGACAGCGGGAATCCATAGCAGAGCAAAGACCAGAGCAAACCTCAGTGCAAAATGGGATAATGGAAAATAACATGGAAACTACCATTTAGGGTTTAGGGTCTAGGGTTTAGGGGGATGATGGAAAATAAAATGGAAACTACCATACTATAATCTATAGCGTTATATAGGGATAATGGATAATAAAATGGAAGCTACTGTTTAGGGTTTAGGGTTTTGAACTTAAAGTAGTTGTGCAAAATGGCGCTGTCAGAAACTCCTCAGAACCGTCTACGGCAGCGGCGCTTGGCCAGCTTTGCTACTTGGTCCTTAATACTGATAGCAGTAGCCATACTAGTACTAATATTAGTACCTATAATGGACAATAATAAGAACCATCGTAATAATAGTAGTTATACTAATAACTAATACTAATAATAGTACTAATAGTAATAGTAATNNACCCTAAACACTAAACCCTAATTCTTTTCTTGCAAGGTCCCTTAACCTTGGCGCTGGGGCACTGGCAGCATGTTGACCACCAGCACCTACAAGAGTGGCAGCTACCAAACGGCAACAGATGAGCGGCCTAGACAAAACGGGGGATTCCCAAAATGAGGGGTCC